AAATACTAAGTATTTGTGTATTTAGTACCCAAAGTGGTACTTTAAGTACCATCCATGGCAACAGGCTAAACTCGTACCTGAGCAGATTAGATGCATTGTCCCAACAAGTGCCCGGCTTGCGGAGACATCTCTTCACATAACCCTAAAACCAACTCGGCTAACGCCACTGTGGCTATGGACAATCACCATAGAAGCTGCACGCTTCCGGAGTCTCCGCAGGGGCAAGCCGACCAAGGCAAGATTGAGTAGAAGCTACAACATTGAACACAATTTCAGACTATATAAAGAAAATAAATTTCATTCATTTATTTCACTGGTAAAGTACATAAGCTGGCAATAGTAAAAATACTGGTAAACTCATATAAGCCCCAAATTTAACATTTTTTTAATTATATGCTGACATTCGACCACTACAATTTGTTGCACAATCTCTTTAACCCTATCAATAAGGAGCTTACTCTCTGTAGTTATTTCCTTTTTCAAAAAGTTTACATGTTCATTTTTTAACGAAGTTGGCAAGCCATCAATTAAACAAAGGTTTGTGCGACATGCCCCATTCAAATCAACGGGATAGCGGCGAATGTCTTTTGAGGTTAATACGCTCTCATTGGTGAAGTCCAAGTAGACTACGGTATAACGTGCGTTATCATTTACTTTTACTGCCCTGGCTCTATACCATTCATTTTCGAATCTTGCCAAGCAGTATTCATGCAATTTAGGGCTATAGTATTGCTTGTTATCTTTATAACGGCTTAAATATTCTTGAACTTTTACCAAATATTTTAGATCTGTTTCGGCGATACATCCTATGTACCCATAGTTCAAAGCAGAAGTATCCAAGACCACGACTTTAAAATTTATTAAATCGGATTTGAACACGTATATTTCGAAAGGTGGAGAAATAATTGGCTTATCTCCAAAGTTCTCACCGCAATTTGTGGATATAGCCATTTGAACCGCACTCTGATATGGAGAATTGTGATTTAAATCCAGTAACATATCGGCTTTGCCTGCATCAGTTGGAATTTCATTTTCATGTTGTCCAACCTCTTTCTCAATTGTTTTATGAATTGAACGCAGGGAATTTGTCAAAGCAATTTTTGAACAAAATTTTACAACTTCTTCATTAATATTTCTCCGTGAGCCCAAAATAGCGAGCTCTACTTCGTCCTCTCCCACTGGCAAAACGCAATAACGCATTTGGCACTCAATACCTTCGAATTGGTTAAGGAAGCTCATAAGAGTTTCAGTAGGCGAATATTCATTTACGTTATGAAGTTTTACCATCATAGAAAAACGGGGCAACTTTAGAATATCCCCGGCTGCAACTCGTAGATCGGAAATTTCGATAGTTGCCACGACCCCATAGTCACAGTGCAAAACTTTGGCATGTTTTTGATCTGGAAAAGACAGTACTTCAACACGGCTAAACATACCGTTATATAACGTAAGAGCTACTGTATGAGCCGAGGGGAAAATATCCAACAATGGGGCTTCTCTTCCAATCGCATCTATCTTCTTGAGAGTAGTTAAATGAGCTTCCGTATCCTTTGCAAGTCGTACAAAACATATATTTGAAGAAATAAATCCCAATATAGTAACTGGTTCAAATGACTTATGTTCCTTGACCGTGTCGATCCCTTTACATTCACTGCCGGAACCTATTCCTTCAGATTGAGGCAGTGCGCCTGTTGAAAATTTATCCAGCTTTTCATTATCTAAATGCTTCGCAGGAGCCTCACCATGATCCGAGTTTATACAAGCAGATATTAGTCCCGGCATGGCAAAACAAATATAACGGTGCCGCTGCCAATCTTTCCGTTGACATTCCGGAGAGCAATAAAAGTCCATGCAACGCTGACAAATCCACATAGCTTTCCGTCGACATAACGTACATAAACCATCAGAGGTAATAAGCCCTGGAATCCCAGATGAATGCATCCCGATATAGTATAAAGATCTATCAAAACAATTAAACCGTACAGATCCAATGACGCGCGCTTAATATGATTGACCGAACCGTTATAGCGATCTAGTAGGGATTAGGATCGTTCGATATTTAAGAAAGTATCGATATCATGAATCGATTTAATTCATTGCATGTAACGGCCCGTCTCCACAGGCAAAGTTTTTGCTTACCAACTGTCATTTTCATTGCCTGATAAAAATTTTATCAGAGGCAATATTTGTACATGGGCATTTTTTATTTTGTTAAAAGCATCTGTAAGATGGCTATTTTTGTCGGATTTCATCACTTAAAAAGGTAAAAGTGCCCTTTAGCGAAAGTAGGCCAAAATTGATGAAAAAATTCAAGAGGGGTATAAACCGACGCGTTTTAATGCGAACAACAATAATCTGAGACCGGAAATTTGTTAAATTCATTAAAGAGTTATTCGCAAAAAACACTTGCACCTTTCGCACTATGTTTTGATGAATTTGACGCAAATAAATGGAGTAAATGAACTCAACTGAACACATATTCATTAGTTTTTATACATTTGTGATGTTTTAAGTGTACACTTTCGCGAAATTCCGTATTTAATAGCAATATCCCGATGGTGAAAATCCGCACAACAATCTTGCATAGTTACCATAAATAACATGGTGGAAAACTAGTGTTGCCAGTGTTGTCCAGTTTGACCAACTTTCGCTAAAGTGCACTACTACCCTTAAAAAATTTAAAAAACATGCTTTTTCACACCTATGCAAATAGTAACAAATATTTTTAATAGAAAGGGGCTAAATTTTTGCTTTTATATTGAAATATCAACAATGTTGTCTCCACGAAGGTATCGGGCAAATCAAAATGTAGCTGTCAAAGTACCAAATTGCTGGCAATGTTTGTCAAGATAAACGCTTTGATAATTAATGCTTGCCAACAGCAATATGCGGTCTCTATGGGCAAAATTTTGACTGATAACATTGTCAAGATAAAAACCTCTGTCTATGGAGACAGCAAGTAAAACCAATATGGCGATATCGATATCGGAAAAATCGATGTTGAAAATCCTTCTCCTTCTTTAGATGGTTGCCACTTCGTCAGTTTTACAGATTGTAAAAAAGATATAAGTTCCTATTCAAAATATGTTTAGAATATTTGAAATTTACTATTGAATAAGTTTTTTGTTGAAAACTAAGGGCCGTTTGCACCATGTCTAGTTAACGCTAACTCCCAGTGAAACATCTTTATCCCACCCATCATATAACATGTGATCGATAAAGCAGTTAACGTGCTTAACTGAAGGATGTACCTCCAGTTAGCGTTAACTAGACATGGTGCAAACGGCCCTAAGTAGTTTATATTTAGCTAAAATCTATTATAGCACGAAAAATTGTAGTTGAAAGGGTAAGTTTATGAAAATGCATTGATGAGTGGCAACAGTGTAGTAAGCAACACTGAGGGCTCCAGTAATCGACAAAATTCTGCGTATACAGACTGCATACGTTCTGCGTTCTCGACTAATTTCAGCTTAAAAGCACATTTAGCGCATTTAGCTCTTTTAGCTACTCTAAGGGCCGGTTGTTCAATGTCTGGTTATCACTACCACTACACTATCGACGATTTCGACATTATGCATGTAACATGTGATCGATAAAGCAGTAGTTGAGCTTAACCGGAGCTTCTACCTCCGATTTGTGCTAATCAGACATTGAACAACCGGCCCTAAATGTACACTCATCCATACAAAATTCGTCACCTAAATGCGACTAAATTCAACTCCATTTTTGCATTAAGAATCTAAATGCTAAAAGCAACCTTATGATCTTCCAAAATTTCCACGCCACGAAAATGGTTTCATAAGGAAAGTAGCAACATTGCTTTTTCGCGTATACAGTGGCTAGCTGCGTTTCAGTGATCGCCGATCGAGATTTCATTTCTTATTTCACATTATTTGGATAAAAAGAGTTACGCAAATTCAACATCGATGTGATGCTGATAGAAATCTGGATCAATTTCTGATCAACTCTGTTTGTTTTGTTTCCTAATTAAGTGAGGAAATTTTAATTGACAGCACCGACTAATGAATATTCATACAAACAAATATTTGGGTTATGGTTAAAACAATTCAAGTTTTTGTATTGTTTGTTTGGTTTAAAATTTATTTTTTCCTTTTCAGTAGGGTTTTTTTGCATATAATCTTCTGCGTGAGAATTGATCGTAGTAGATACGGATTTGAATAAGCGAATGGAACACTGTTTGTCAAAAGTATACGATTTCGAACTCGCGTATATGTACGTTTGCTAAATGAGATAGCATGAACGCTCCTCGAAAACATATGTTCGAAAGTGCTAAATGTTGCATTTTAAATGCAGCAAAAACGCTGCATTAGACCTGGCTCTCAACTTACCTAATTGTGTTATTTCCATCTTGTATATTTAGGGCCGTTTGCACCATGTCTAGTTATTTCTAACTACCAGTTAAACATCTTTATCGACGTTATCGACACCCATCATATAACATGTGATCGATAAAGCAGTTAACGTGCTTAACTGAAGGATGTACCTCCAGTTAGCGTTAACTAGACATGGTGCAAACGGCCCTTAGACTGTCTGCGCATTGGTCGTCCAATCATAGTTGCTCTTACAAATAGTATTTAACAGCAGTGAAATAATTCTTTATTTCAGTTCAGATTCAGTAACAAGAATGAAGAAAAATGTATTACATAAAAAAAGTTCTTTGACAAATTATTAAATTAACTTGATGAAAATACATATAGCAAGTATATGCAAATGTATATCTAAAAATATTTAACACTCCTCCTCATTTGCATATGCCTGTTTTATCTCTTAGATATTCCAATTTTCTTGCTGATAGTGGCTTAGTCATCATGTCGGCTAACATTTCTTCTTATGGGCAATATACACAAGATTTTAGCTGTATGTCAACGTAATCCTTAACAAAATGAAATCGTGTATCTTTATGTTTAGATCTGTTGCTTACACGCTCCTCCTTAATCAGACTCAAACAACTTTGATTGTCTTCATATATCTTAGTCGGACAGCTTTGAAAACAATTCATATCTGCCAAAATCTTGCGAATCCAAATTGCTTCTTTTGCAGCTTCTGATAAAGCTTCAGCTTCAGTTGTTGAAAGTGAAACACACGTTTGCTTTCTGCATGCCCAACTTACTACACCTCCATTTAGTTTGAAAATATATCCTGAGTTTGATTTTCTATCTATACGACATTCTGCCCAATTTGCATCCGCATATCCAATTAATAAATTATTCTCAATTTTATTATTATTTAATTGTAAATATAAGTTTTGCGTTCCTTTTAAATTATTTAAAATGCGTTTAAGTTCCGTCAGATCTTCATTTGTTGGCATACTTGTTTTTCTTGCTAGAATTGCTACACTTGCTGAAATATCTGGCCGGGTAATTACTGATATGTATAACAATAATCCAATTAAACTTTGATAAAATTTATTATTAACTAAAGGTTGCAATTCTGATTTTCCATATGAAATTTCAAGGGGATATTTAGAAATTTTAGAATCTTTTAATCCAAATTTTTCAGTTAACCTTTCTATAAATTGCTTTTGACGTAAGAAAAATTGCTTCCCTTCTTTCAAAACTTCTATTCCAAGAAAATGATTAATGGATCCCAAATTATTTATCTCAAATTTTGAATTTAAAAATTTTTTCAACACAGCTTAAGTGTTCCTCCTCAGAAACAGCTACTACCAAATCATCAACGTATACCAATAAATATATAATTCCTTCCCCGTTGATGATTTTCGTGAATAAACAAAAATCATCTTTGCTTTGTTTAAAGTTTTCTTTTTCTAAGGCATAGGTAAGTTCTTTATTCCAAACATTTGCTGCTTGCTTGAACCCATAAAGACTTCTTTTTAATTTGCAAACCATGTTATTATCACTAAGAAAAGTGCATTTTACATCCATATGCACTACGTGCATGTTCTTTTCTCCAGCAATCGATAATAATATACGAAACGTGGATTGTCGAACGACAGGTGCATATATCTCATCGTAATCACATCCGTATTTTTGACTGAACCCTTGTGCAACTAGACGTGCTTTATACCTTTGTATACTTCCATTGAGGTCACTCTTAATCTTAAAAGTCCATTTACAACCAATAACATTAGACTTAGGGGGAGCCTGTACCAATTCCCAGGTTTGGTTTTTCCGTAAAGAATTCATCTCCTCCTCCATAGCTAAAATCCATTCGCAAGAATCGTCTGAAGATATTGCTTCCTTGTAAGTCTTTGGCTCGATCATTCCATTTTCATTTACTAAACAGATATTATGATAACATCGCAAAGGTGGAACACCCTTAGTACTTCTGCCTGATCTGCGGGGAGCAATACCCTCATCCATGATTTGTTTATTCGAAATTTGTTGATCTTCAGCTTCATTATTTGTGCTAACTGTATCGATGCTTGGAACGTTGTCAGAATTTACACTACAAAAAGAGCCTTCAGAAACATTTGAATTTACTTCATCACGATTATACGATTCATCTTCGTCATGTGTAGTACTATCTGGAACAAAAATGTTCTTAGTACGCTTGAGAGACATATCTATTTCAAAAGTTGATGGTTTTTTATGTAACCGCCTTTCTTCAACCTTCTTGCGATATACAAACTTATAATCTCTGCTAATAGTAACTTTGTTAGTATTCAAATCAACGAATCGTAACCCATTTGATTTATCATCATTGCTTAAGCCGCCGCTTAAAGCGCAATCAGACGGCCGTGCGCGCAATCCTTGGCCGCAGCAGTTTGGCAGTTGAACTACGTCAACTCCGAAAATGATTACCGAGCGCGCACGGCCGCCTACCATCATCGTGCCAAATTATGCGAAAGGCAGTTCAGTTACTACAGTCGGACAACGCGCACGCGCCCTTATCACAATAGTTATCGGAGTCAACATAGGTTTTGAATTTATTTGCCCAATAAAGCTGTATACCCATAAAAACATATGCGCTCATTTGAAGTTCTAGTATAAAGCCAGACAAACTCTTTATATGTGTGTAAATACATATACATATACATACAACTCGAAGTTGTAAATAT